TATATATATATATATATATATATAGTGCTACACCATCTAGATGTTTTACTAAAAATCTTCTATCTATGCTATTCCTAATACTACATTTCTCAACTTAGGTTTACGTAACTGACATGTATAACTTGTATTTTGGTTATTGAATCTTATTTTCCAGAATAATAATTAAATACGTGTTTACCTACAGCAACTTGAATGATAATTATAAAGCTGACACAATATACTGTCCAAGTTCAATAAGTTCTCTAATATGGTAACTATTAGTCAACAAAGGTATTGCTACTTGATTGTAACTGATGAACACGGAGATAGCAAGAGAATCTTTAGAACAAATTAAAGGAATATCTTAATATCTTGATGACTTACCATACCATTATAGGCTGAGAGTTTCAAAAACAAACAATTATCATATGGTTTTTTTGCTAATTATTCAAGACTCAGAAGAGTGGAATAGCTGGCCATAATGTGCAAAAATAAATTGATATAAAAAATATTTTTAAAAAATGTGATGGGGATCTTTACTGATTTTTACTTTTGTTTTTAATGAAATATGTATGGGCTAAGGTTCCACACCACAACTACAATGATATATGACACCGATGCATCTTGACAATAGCCCTGCAGTGTAGTTTCCACTGCAAAAAAGCTCAGTTGTAAGACTGTCATGTTCAAAGCACAGCCCTTCTCCCAGCAGCTTTCCACAATTCATCTAATTTACAAGGACAGTAGTATTCCAGTGCTCTTCAAATAGTTTGATCACATATAAAACCTTAGGTATGCTCTGGTATGTTTTAAAAACATCTTGCACACATGTGTCATTTTTCCAAATGAAAATCCATCTTCATTCATCTAGGGTATGTGAATGGCTTTTGCCACTGAACTTTGTGTCCATGGATTTTCATCTGTTACAAGCAGGGGTGAAATTCTCAACAACAACAACAAAAAAGAGAGGTACTCAGCTGGATGAAGTGGGTCTACTTTATGAAAAAGAAATCTATGTGTAAACATAAAGAACAAAGCAGCTCAAATAAGTTCCAGTACTAGTACTTCCTTAAAAACAAAGTTCTGATACTCAGTACTGATGAGTACTGGCAGAATTTCACCCCTGGTTGCAAGACACTGCACTTTCTTTACCACATCAGGATACAACGTATTGCACGTTCTTTCTGGATGGTGTCACATCTTGATCCATATTCCTGTGTTTTCCATTAAAATAGATACAAGGGATATCTCCATATTGGAAATTCTATATCCCCCATCTGAACACAAGTTTATGATCTCAGTGTATATTTTGCATCAGAAAGGGCTGTTACCTATCCATTCCAAAAGCAATCAATTTTCGGTGGCATCAACCATACTTACAAAACAGCAAAATCTTCAAAATATAGTTGTTATACATTCCACTCCACTACAACTTCATATTGTCTGTGGTTGTCATATGACTTTACATATCAATTAAGGTTTTAAAACTACATATACAATGTATATATACCATCTATACAAGGTTTTTAAGAGCTTTAAATCGAGAATGTTGTGCTGAAGTTTTAGAAATAAGTGTACAATTTAGTTGCAAGTTAGGTTAAAGTCTTACGTTTTCCTCTACAGGAGAACAATAAAGTTTTAGTTAATGTAAAATAAGAACTTAATGTTAGAAATTATTAAAAGGAAAGTTTTTAACTTCTGATAAATTAAATAAGCTACTAATACATGTATTTTATGATACCATATGTGAGAAAGTGGATATAATATATATATATATATATATATATATCACACTAACTAAAGTAACTAATTACATAGATTCACTTAACAAGTGGTACTGTAAAGGATTACCAAAATATTGCGATACCTATACCAGTAACTTCCTCTATTCCATACTTAGAATTGAGCATTAACTTTCAGGAAGATTATAACTATGGATAACATTTGTTCAGTCAATTGATGAATCAGGAGAAATATCAAGACATTCCCTTACCATTTCTCTCATTCTTCTTTAGTAAATAACCTTTTCGTGTACATATCTGGTGCAGAATACTGGAGAACATTAATAAAATTTTAGCCTGTAGGTTTCTACCCTAATTTAAAAATAAACCCTTACATAGCAATATCAAGGCATCAAGTGACTTTTGTTGATGAAATTATATGAAATTTTTGAAAAAAAGATAAAGTTTGCCAATTCCACTCACCATCTCTTACTTTTAATTGTAATTAACAAAATTAATAGTTTTATCTTTAACCATCTTAAACAATGACAAGATGTGTTCATGACAATAAAAATTTAATAGAAATACAATGAATGGAGTATTGAAAAATAAGTCCATTTGTTTAGACTTCATATACTAAACTTAGATAACGGGTAGTTATATCATAATCATCTTAAACAATCAATGAATGTGATAAAACCTTTAAAAAGAAATAAAGTGGATGTTTTCTTTAAAAAGATACAGATAACACTTTATCTATGCCATCTTGAACAATGCTTAGATGTGTGAGACTGTTTCAGTAGACAAAGATGCCACAATAGAAGCAGAATTATAGTGATACTGAAAAACAGTTCTTTTTGGAGAATTGATATGCTAAATTTACATAATGGGTAGTGATATTGTAACAATCTTAAACAATGACTGAATGTAACAGTAAAGATTGTCTACAATAGTTACAAGCAAATCAATGACTGTTACATTGATGAAAACATATTTCTGTGACTGGAACAAAAATAACTAGTCTGATTTTACTTTCTTGAGATTGAATGATTGATTGGATAACAATTTCCTTTTAGAAGATGAACTATACTCTGCATTTCCTTCATCCTTTGCTGATGAAGATCAATGTTTATTTTCAGGTTTTCTTCCTACAGACAACGATTTACTACCACTGGCTATTTTGCCTAGCTTCTTCTCCAGAAACTGTCCCTTTTGTTGTTCAACACTCCCCTGACTTTCACATATTTTGTTCATTTCTTTTCTTAAGCTTTCTGTCTTTGCTGTGGCTGTAACTATCATCACCTGTATCACACCCACTCCCTTCATATAATTTTTTTCTATTGCTTTTTTCAGCTTGCTGTTTCCATCATTAAGCAATTCTTCTGTATAGATTAACTTCCACTGAATTTCAGTTTCCTTCCTCAACAGTTCTTTCTCTCTCTCTCTCTCTCTCAAGAAGGGAATAATTTTTGTTTCTAGTTTCCTTCTCTTCAGTTTGTACCCTCTTCTTTTCAAGCTCAACCTTTTCTGCCTCTCTTTTTCAACTTTTTCTTCCTCCAGTCTTTGTTTATAGTTGCTATAAGCCATTTCAGCAGATCTTTAAACTTCCCTATTTTATGGTGCTGAAGCTTAAAAGGATTTGAAAACTGTCTTTGACAGTTCTTACAGCATTTCCA